GACTTCTTCGCACTTCCTTGATGCTTTGCAACTTGCATGCCCAGGTGAATCCGAGTACCATGTGCACAAGTCCTGGAAGCCTGTCTCCAAGGACGGGCGTTTTAGTCATGCTATCAGCGCGTATCCCACTCTCTTTTGCCAGCGCGTAGCTGGCTTGCTGCGGGATTCTGGGCGCCTCTGAAGCTACATCTTTGAGTGAGCGGCAGGCTCACACGCCGACTGCTGCGCGTGTTCCCCTTGGCCTGCAGCCTACGCGGTCACCAGGTGTGCTGCCCGAGTTTGGTTACTACGTTCATGTCGTCGATCATGTTCAGAATTCGGAACCAGCTGCGGTGGCGCCGCCAAAAGGGCATTTCATTTCTCGGCATTTGTCCACTTGGGGCGATGTGCAGGCCGAGAAACGAGTAGCTGCCTGCTGTCGGATTGCACTGTAGGGTCTCAGACCCCCAACCTGGAACTAGGGTGGAGGTTTTTAGGTTTGGCATCCCCCCAGCTCCGGATAAGTTTGTGCAAAGGGCCGTGCGTGCCGGACACCCAAGAGACTTCGTTGATAGTCTTGAACCGGCTTTGAAATCCGTGGTCAAAGAGAATCTTCTAGGTGATGAATTTTCTTTGGCTAAGCACCGTTTAAAATTCATAGCTCGCTGGTCTGCGCGAGCGAAGGAACTTCAAGGCCGTGAGGATGCACTTCACGCAGCGCTTCCTCCGCACATCCGTCAGACCTTGAAAGGCAAAAGGCTTCTCTTGTGGCAGGAATTGATTCTTGCGTATGGTCTTCCGGATACCAGCCTCATCGAGGATATGCAAAAGGGTTTTTCTTTAAGTGGCTGGCTACCTGCAGGCCATGCTTTCCCCACTCAGATTAAGCGAAACTTTGAAACTTCTGTCAGGTAGTCTGAACAAAGCCGTGCTTGAAAAAATGGCGGTGCGACAAGAGCCTTTGCTCGAGCATGCCACTTGGCAGGCTACGTTGGACGAACTTCAGAATGGTTGGATGTGGGAAGCGCCTAAGTTTGAGGGTGACTTTAAGGTTTACGCCCGTAGGTTTGGCATAGTGCAAGGGGACAAAACGCGTGTGATTGATGACTGTAGTTGTTGCGGTCTCAATGCAACCGTGGGGACGGTTGAAAAGTTCGTTGTCCATGCGATTGATAGGATGGCTGCCGTGCTGTCTTACGCAATTGACATCTCGGCGGAGGGAGGCGCTCCACTATGCGGCCGAACGTATGATCTCAAGTCTGCGTACAAACAATTCCCTGTGTCATGTGCAGACCGCGACATCTTGAGAATGTTCGTCAACCGTCCAGGCCAAGCCGAGCCGTCGTCGGTGGGCCTGAACGCACTACCGTTCGGCGCAATAGGCTCCGTTGCCGCTTTCTTGAGAATAAGTATGTCGGTTTGGATGTTGGGGGTGTGTGCACTTAGGGTAATCTGGACGGCTTTCTTTGACGACTACAGCGTAGTCTCGAAGGAGAGCCTGAAGCAGAATACTGCCTTCGCTGTGCAATCCCTGTTCAACCTCTTAGGCCTTGACTACGCCAAGGAAGGGAAGAAGGCGCCTGAGTTTTCTGGGGTGTTCCAGATGCTAGGTTTAGTGAAGTGGTTGATCTTAGCCAGTTCGAAAAACGTTTGGTTAAAATTGGCCACACTGACAAACGCATTGCTGAGCTAACGCTCTCGTTGGATGGAATCCTTGAAGAAAACAGACTCAGCGCGAAGGAAGCGGAAAGGCTACGAGGCCGCATGAACTTCGTTGAAGGCCATGCTTTTGGGAGAGGGCCGACTCAGGCGGTCAGTAATCTGGATCGCCAGGCCCGGGCCGGTCTCTTGAAGCAAGGCTTGACAGGAGATGCCAAGACATCTTTGGGTGTCCTTCGCAGCCGCCTGTTGTCGGCTCTGCCCTTTGAGATTAGCCCAAAGTTCAGCAAGACTTGGTATCTCTTTACGGATGGAGCTTTTGAGAATGGAAAAGGCAGTGTCGGAGCAATCTTCTACGACCAGTCAGGCGTTGCTCGAGGTGCCTTCGGTTCTCGCGCTCCCGATGCCTTCATGCATCGGGCACTTGAGTACTCTCGCAACCCTATTTATGAGCTAGAGCTTATGCCGGTTCTGTTGGCTTTTAGGGTTTGGCAGAAGGTCTTCAAGTGTGGCCAACTTGTTGTGTACGTGGACAACGAAGCAGCGAAAGCAGCGTTGATCCGTGCTTGTGCATCTACGCCAGTCGCAGAATTGGTGACCGAGAGTGTGCGATTACTCGAAGAATCGCTGCAACTCAGGTGCTGGTATTCTCGAGTGCCGTCACTGAGCAAACCCTGCCGATGCACCAAGTCGGCTCTGCTGTTTTGATGGCATTGATCCTTCAATCATCGTGGAAGCCGCGTCCTTGCAGTGGGATGTGTTGTCCAGTGTTGGCCGAGTGGGGTGACTTGCAGCCACTGGACCTTTCCCCACTTGCGAATAAAAAGAGAGGGCGCGCTTCCGTCTTGCAATTTTTATATATTGAGATTGTGCTTTTATATGCTGCTCGATATTTGCAGGATGAACATACCTTCTTGTGACTAATTGATATAGATTCATTTTGAATGAATCTCTTGTTGGTCACGTTGTGCAAGCGGTTCCTTGCGATGAACAAGGACATATCGGGGTCGAAAACAAGACAGACCAAGTGCAGGGTCTAGAAAAAGACATTTCGGGGTCGGAAAAAGAGCAGCCCCTCTTCAAATCCTTTTCCAGATCCTTGTTCTTTACTCTTTCCAAATACTTTTACTTTTCCGTTGTTCTTTCCTTTTCCGGCTTCGAATTCACCAAATGCTTGCTCTGATAATACCTTAATGATCGTGACGACTTGGTCCAATGTCCGCAATGCATTCGCTTGCAACCCGCCAATGCGTTTCCTGTCGCTCTCTCGTGCTTGTTAAAGACAATGAACTGTGTCAGATCTGGGCGTCTCGGAATTGATGCTCAAGCAATTGACTTGACAGACTCACTCTTGGCTCGGTTTGACAATGCAAATCGCTTGTGCAATTGTCTCCATGTCGAATCCGTTGCCTGGCTCGTTCAACCTGACAATCAGCCTGGCGTTGTCATCAGTCAAGTTTGCGTTTGCTAGAAGACAATGCATGCTTCGCAATTGCCACAAGGCCTTGTCCTGGACAATTCTCCTCAGCCCTTGTCACGTGATCATCAATGGCCTGAATAGGTTCCTTCAACTCGACTTGAATACGGGAGGAGGAAAGAATTTAGTTTCTCCTCCTAATCCTCGGGATTCACCTAAGACAGCCATCTCAATCCAGAAGTTCGAAAATCAAGAATGATGCAATTCTCAGCTAGCGCACTGGAGTACCTTGGGTTCGCCGCAGGCCCCGCTACCATGAAAAATTCAACAATCGTATTCGAGCTTCACTTGGAGTGCTGGATGCAATCAACAATCAAATGCTCAGTCACGAGTGCGATCAGCTTTGGAATGCAATCACTCGGTCAGCGATCTTTTCACGAGCAATCAGATCAATCTTGAGCCAATGTGCAAGGTGCACATGTGTACAAAAGTGACTTGGAAATGATGCTACAATCTAACAGTGAATGAAAAATTCCACAAGCGTTTCGAGAATCCCCAGGAGTGTGCAATAATCAAGCAACAACAATCAAACAGAAATCTCAATCTGCTCCAGAATGCAATCACTCGGTCTCAGACTTTTGTCTGGATGCAATGAGCCAGTCTTGAGCCAATGCCAATTCGTAAGCATTGTGTCCGTGGGTACAATATGAGCTGGAGAATGACCATGCAATCTAACACGGTCCCTTGATTGCGACGTGGTACGTCGGCAATCACAGCTGTACAATCTCCGCTCATTTTGTGGTTTGACAATCGTAGTAGAATAGCAAAACGAAACAAGAATTGAATCAATCGAGTGTGAATCGAAACAATCAAGCAATCAATCTAACGGCTTGAAACGCGATGACGAAACTACTCGGGGAATCTCACTCTTTTGCACTCAGAACTGGGCAATGTCTTGCAGTCAACCAATCTTCAACTATGTGCAATCGTCATCCAGGAAACAATGTCTCCGTCGGTACATCGCAATCATAGAATCAGATAGAATCAGCAATCAATCGGCAGTCTGCAGCAATTGTCCAGTGCTCAATCCGAGCATCATGTTGCCATTCGCTGCTGTTGCGATTCCTGAGCAGAAAAATCAAAATCAATACTGTGGTCAGCCAAATGCTGACAGGCTCTCAATCGGGAGGCAGCAGTCCCATGCTCCTCAATCATGAGAGACGCAATCCACTGCATCTTGTGGATCAATCATGCCAATCACTGTTGGCCTTTGCGCTTCTTCCCAATGGCGGCAGCCGTTGCCAACATGACCGAATATTCTTGCTGTGTCAATGATCCTGCGGACGAACTGGAATCGCCCAATTCGGTGTCAGCAGCAATGTCGTCGGCTGGCACTTCATCACAATTCTCGGACAATAGCATCAACTCCGGAATTCCTTCAATCTGCATACTGCTCACCGGGAACGAGCAATGCCTGTGCAATGCCTCTGTTGGCATCCAATACTGCAGTACGAGGAATTGTGAATCAGTGAGCATGCCTTCTCCACTGTCAAGGACGTGAGCTCCAATATCACGCAATTCTGGCGGCAAACGCCGGGGAGGCAATAGCGGTACTCTCCGCCAGTCTCGTGCGCGAATCAATCGTCATGCACCGCGAGCAACTCAAGAATGAACAATTATGGAACTTCTTGAAGCCTCCAATGCCTTCCTGATTCTTCAATCTCGTGTCCGCCATGTCGCGGGTTGGTCTGAAGACCAATATCTTGACCAACTCCTCAATTTGGCCCCGCGAAAATCTTGATTGGCGGTACCAATGCGCCAATTTTCGAAGACTCGCGTCAAGTGTACATTGTGGGTTCAATTGCCCAAGGGGCGTAGGAATGGTCGTTGATTGACCATTTGCCAATGACTCCACAATCGAAGCCGGCAATGCAAGACAAACGAATCAATCCACCAGCTCGTCAATCTGCCCGTAGCTGCGGGCTCTGTACAATGTCATCGCGAAAATCTGCTTCAATGCCCAATGGCACTCCATCGCTCGATCCAATATCAGGCATGACAAGTCCAATGCAAACACCGGGATCTCGTGCTCAATCTCGCTTGCAAGCATCCTCGCAATGCAACTGTTGCACACATGAATCAAGTTGAGGAATGCGCAATTCGCGTAGCCGCAATGGGACGAATACCCATCGGGTGTCATTACGTGCGCCCATCTGTTCGTGACAATCCAGCCTAACTGCAATTCCATGGGCGCAACTTTGCCCGTGAATCGGGACATCTGCTGGCAATACATGGTCAATCCACTCTGGATGATATCAGCAATCTGCAGAATCAGAGGGCAATCCAAGTGAATAATGCCTTCGTTCAATGTCACGTCGCAGTAGTGGTCAATCGTCTGTGCCACCTCGATCAATGCATTCTTCCACTGGTACAATTCAAGTGTTGCTGAAATCATGGCAATATGCGAGAAGAAAACGGCAAACGCCTCTCGCAATCGCATCAGAATCGTCCTCTCAGGCCAACGCAATTCATGCATCGGCTCATGGACATGACTCGCAGTTTGACTGACAATGTTCTGGAATTGCTCCAATGGTGTGTTGTGAGGCAATGTCACCGGAGGAGCACCCATAATGAACTCCGGGGCTGCAGCCATGGCAATTGGAGTCAATCTAAGGCAATCGCGCGGACGAATCTGCTTTCCCAATCTACGAGCAATCGCAAGCGGGAGCAATCAGTAAATCAACAATTCACACAAACGGCACACTCCAGGTTCAAAATCTTTCCAAAACGACTTCCAATCGTGCTTTACACAATTTCGTCAAATTGGCAATGCTTGACGAAAACTGGTTTTGGTAGAGCTCGAAACAATGAATGTTCGGCTTTCCATGCCAATACTATGTACACTTGTCCAATAAATGCCAGCTCGCTTCAGCCAGTTGAAAAATCGAGAAATTCTTGTTTCTTGCAATTCAAACACGGAGGTCCGTGACACTCCAAGGAAAATCTTCCTGTTGAAACACAATGATAAAGTCGTGCCAATGCACATGCTGAGCTCAAAAGGAAATTCACTCAATTCTCACCTCTTCTTTCTTTTCATGCAATATATGCACTCTGAGGCTGAAACGTGCGTAACGGAACATGCAATCGACTTCAATCACCTGCGGTCAATCTCAGGCGGTCCCTTAGGCAAGGCAAGTCAATTCTTCTGTGAGACAAAGTTGAACAAATGAAACAATGTTTATTTGGTTTTGGGGTTTTCTCAAGAATGCAAAGACCACACACAATCGAGATCCAATCACAAATCGTGAGGTTCTCAAGACCAAGACCGTGGCAATCAAAACGCTGGACGTGGCAACAATGACAAAACAAAGAGCAATGTCCCTTCAGACGAGACAAACACCGACACTGCAGACTTGTCACAATGTGACCATCGATGACAAACTTGAATTTCCGTCGGTGCTTGTCGTCAAATGCGTACTCTTCAAGACAATCATGACAGACAACGACGAACCACAGAATTTCGCTGAGACGACATTCGGTCAATGGACAAATCTTCACATGAATCGGACAGACGGAACAACCAATGGACTGAGTCTCGTGTCCTGTGTCAATCAATGATCAATGATCATGAATGAGACTTTGACTGAGATCAACAATGGCTCTCGAACAATGATCACATATCGCCAGGAGGTCCGCAATTGAGAATCCGATCTTTAGCGCAATGATAGCGTCGAGCAATCTCTCCAGAGTATCCTTAGTCGATCTCAAAGGTTCCTCAGTCTCGCAGTGATGGCGAGAAGAGTGTCGCAATGCGCAGCAACAGCTACAAAGAGAAATGCTCAATGTGTAACAAGGAGTCAGGCAGACAATTCGAGCCTGTCGAGTCTGACTCGATCCTTCCGAAAAAGTCTTGCCTATAGACTTGGAGTAGGACAACGAAACACGAAGACAATGATGACAAAACACATGATGAAATCAACAGTGCCAATGAAGAACCAATATGCACAGGGGGCAATCGCAAAGTGTCGAGAATGCCAATGGCAGAGTGCCTGAACCAGCAGGTCCAGATCAATCAGATGATCTGCGTGGCTCAAATCACCATGCTCGTGCAATGAGATCAGAATGACTGAGAGATCACGGCTCAATCGAGACAATGCAACAGTAGAACCAATGTTGCGACGGTCGGAAGCGCAGCGTGGGAAATGCCAAGATGAAATCGCATGCTGCAATCCCAATCGGATCGAAAACCTTGGTTCCAATAAGGTTCCAGACCTGTCGTCACAATCTCTGTGTTCGCAGCCGAATGCATGACGTGACAATGCCCCATCTTGTGTCTGACTGAGGCAATTCATGTGGCGAGTGAGAATCGAACTCGCAACCTTAGAATCAATGCCACTTTCCTCCTTCCTTAGGATTCCGAAGGCAATGTCAAGACAAAATGCAATGCATGTAGCTTGGCCGTGCAGCCAGTCAATCATCTGTTGAGAAATCTCTCTGTACTCAGACACTCTCTCAATCAATCCTGTATCCAATCGCAAGTGCAATGCATCACAGAACGATGCTGCAAGAAGGACAATCCTGCAAGATCGTGCAATCTGATCAGAACTACCACAATCAGTAGAATCACACTTATTATCGTACCTCGTGACGAGGGACGAGCTACGACTATGTGTGCTAGTAATCTTCCCACCGAAACCATCGCAGGTGTTTCGGCTAGAACGAAGTTTCTACTGCTATCTATTGCTCTTGCTGTGTGTGTCAGTCTGCAAGACATGGATAGCATGACTTGGAATGGCGAGGAACCTTGTGCACTTCCGTGGCCATTCTGGATAAAGTCCCCCGTCGGGGGGGTAGTTTTGAAGTAGGGGGAGTAGGAAAGGGAACGTGGCTAGGAGCCACGCGAGATGGCTTTTTCCACCGCGCTCCCCGGCTACTACGAGACCCTCACCGAGCTCGGAGAGGACAAGGGATAGCGCACAGACCGTTGTCGGTGCTAGCCCCGTGGCGATTGCGAGTAGCCCGGCTGTCTCGATGCCGCCCCGACGGCTCAGGCCGGGTTGGGGACGGGAGACGGGGTGCCGGCTCGTCCCCTCACCCTTCTAGGATTCTAGGAGGGCCGGGATCCCCGGCTTGGGAGAGACTGGCGAGCCTCCAGGACAGGTGCTAGGGGGGATTGCGACGTCGCCGGAGTTTCTGAGCAAGGCCAGAAGGAGAAGAACAAGAAGCTCGTCCTGCATATGTGCTACGACCACCTGTCCACCAAGGTTTTGGGCTTCTCGAGCTAGCCTCCTTGAGGCTAGAGGAGTCAGAGCAGGTGGCGGGACAACTGGCCCACGAAATAGACATAGGCTACTCCGACTACCTGACTGCCGGAATAGAGGGCTAAAAAGAGCTTGTCGACGAGGGCGCTGCTCCAGGCGAGGGAGGAGAGGCTACTTGGCGTCTGGACGGCTAAGCTCAGTCAGGGACGAGCTGGAGATGTGCCGGGCGCCTGTGTTGGAGAAGAGCAAGGGAAGCCTTGGTCCGGATAGAGCCATCCTCCTGCTAGTGGGCCATCTATACGGGCGCTGGGGACTTTGGTTGGAGGAGGCTAGAGGTGTGCACCCCCTGGCGAGCCGGTCGACCTCGCGGACTACATCTTGGGTAGGAGCGACGAGCCTTGCGGAAGGACTGTCCCAGAGGCTATCCTCAAGGCTATCAGCTGGATGGAGAAGGTCGCGGAGTTCGACTCGGCGAGCAGGGCTACTGCAGGACGCCTTGTTGTGCGTTGGGAAAGGATAGTATTGGACAGTGCGAGGGGCATTGGCTCGAGGATATGGGCCTGGGCTAAATTGGTCAAGGTCTGGGCTAGCCTCCATTGGTCGGACCTCCAGGCTATGATCGAGATCGCCCTACGAGAGGGAGGGCTAACTACCATCCTGCGGAGGGCGAAGACCACGAAAGCAACCCGGAGGATAAAAGAGCTGCGGGTCTGCATCTCGGAGAAGGCCTGCTTCGAGAGACCGGCCTGGCTAAGCGAAGGCTTCAAACTCAGGTGAAGAGCTACGCTACGCTGGCTGATGTCGGGACTACCTGATGCCCCGGCAAAAGGAGAACGGCCAGCTGGAGAAGAAGATGGCGACCTATGCGGACGCGATGGTTGCTACGGCGGGTTTGCCGGCGAAGGCCGGCGGTGCTACCTCCCGCCTATATGCAGGCCTATGGGGGCAGAGTGGCCAGGCTACAGGCTACCTATGCCCAAGCAGCCCGGGGAGATGGGGAGAGGATCGCGAGGGCTGGCACAATGCTATGCGGAACGCCTGGCTAGGGAGACACCGCCGAGATCATTGGCGAGACCGGTGGAGCTCGATCAGGAGAACGACGGCTCGGAGGGCGATAGCGAAGGAACAACACCAGCCCCGGCAGTTGCTAAAGAAGGCTAGGTTACCAAGTTTCTCATCGAGCTCCGCGGGCGCAAGTATCGGCTACGCAAGGGCGGCGAGGCAGGCTGCTGGATGGGCCGTCGTAGGATATTTAAGAGATATTTAAGAGCTCCCGGGAGTTCTCTTCCCGGCCGGATAGAAGCGAGTACACACATGTGTGCAGGCTATGCTGGTCCAAGGGGAAGGGAGGGGAGAGCCAGGATAGCGCAAGCGAAAGCTCCCAGGCTAGGACCGGGACGAGAAGAAGGACCCGAGCCGGAATGCGAGCAGGGGCAACGGCATAGTGCCATGGCTAGGGGCCTTGCCGCAACCGGGGCACCCGTTTCTTTTCTGGAGGACCGGTGGGCCGTGACCCGTCGGGCTGGAAAAAACTGGTGCACATGGGCTAACCTTCCTTCCTCCCCGTTGTCCTCGGGAAGGTTTCCCGGGGTTTACCGGGGGGGAGAAAGGAGAGAGGAGAGGAGAGAATCACGTTCTTGCACTTGTGCTGTCTTGGTAAAGGGCAAGTGCTTTGCGTGTAAAGTGCTAGTGCGGCTGTGCTTGTGTAAAGGGCTAGTGCGTGTGGCTTTGCTTGTGTAAAGGGCTAGTGCGAGGGCATGCTGGACTGCACACAAGCAACCGGCGCGGCCGCTGGGGCTAGCCTGGAGGAAACGGTTTCCAAGTTAGGTTTTCCCTAGCGATGGCTGACCGGCCCCCAGACCGGGGCGGCTACAATGCTTCCCGTCCGAAGGGACAGGGCAAGGCTTTGTCGTGGGCGAGTACCGCCTACAGCAACGGATAGCTGCCAACAGGAGAGAGGCTAACCTTCCATCCGGATACACCCCTCTCGAGAGATCAACAGGTCCCCGGCTACGCCACCGGCCACGGCTAGCGAGAGTCCGGAGCTCCTCGCGCAGCTCCTCGCTAGGATAGATAGCCTCGAGGAGGCTTGCCGGAGGAGAGAGCTTCGCGATCAGAAGCCAGAGAGACAGCCGCCTGCAGCGCTGTGTGAGGAGGCTAGAAGGCCAGAGGCCAGAGGAGGCGAGGAGAGGCGGGGGCATGTTTGGCAAGCCCCGGCTAGACCCCACGCCTTCGGAGGCGCACGGCCAGGCTGAGAGAGAAGGTGGCGGCCAAGGCGGCTGCAACGCCGCGAGGCAGCAGCGTTCTGGAGAGGGTTCAGCAGCAGCGCGGGCTAGCGAAGCGGCTAGCATAGCCCCTGCGGCAGCGCAGGCTAGCGGAGTGGCGGTTTGATATGGCGACCTGGATTGGCAGGTGGGTCGGCTAGTCGACCACGGCGTGGACCGCCGACCGCTAGCCCTAGGAGGATAAGAAGCGATACATCAAGAGGCTATCCCAGGCTTGGCAGGAGAATGAGTTGGATAGGGGGCCCAACAGGAGAGCTGGACAACAGGAGAGCTGGAGGCCTCATGACGTGGATAGGAAAAGGAGATGATCTGAGATTGGCAGGCTACCGCCGAAGAGCTAGGCTAGGCCCGGCCAAGGGTCAGCGGCTAGCAGCTCGTCCTCGGACAAGCCGCTAGACCGCCAACTGGGCAGGGGACCGGCTAAGGAGAAGTCCTGGCCCTTCAAGAGGGTGCCTGCCCCCACAACTTGGATAGGCCTTCGGCAGAGCTAGTCCAGGAAGCTGCCGGCAAGGTCGTCCACGAGCTAAGGAGAGCACCCCCAGTGGGGGCGATAGCCCAGGGACAGCGAAAGCGATTTGTTTCGCTTCAACATTGATCCAAGCTTGATTGCGAATCAACCTGTCATTGCGACTTCTGTGATTGCCTTCACTTCCATGCGAAAGTCAGTGTCAGCATTGATTGGAGACCGTTGGTGGACATTGTCTCCACAGACATCGGTCAACTCTGTGATTGACCTGACCAAGTATTGGTTCTGTCCAGATCCAGCGATTGAGCATGGATTGAGCAACGCATTGCGTCATACGACATTGATCAAAGGATCCATGCTTGCATTGCAGCCGAACATTTTGGCTGACCTCTGGCTCTGGATTGCTCTACCCATTGAGATGGCAAGCACTTTGATTGCAGCAGAAGGATTGAGTGTGGCAAAGTTTCCATGCCACCAGCTCAACTTCGCCATTGCCCCATGGTGCGCATTCTGCAAATTGATGCATTGGATGCGTCAAGGAGTCATTGAGTGGACAGAGTCGAACATTGCCTTGGTTCAATTGAAGCTTCGTGCCACAAAATTGAGTTCCGAATCGAAGACAAGCACAGGCAGAGGCGGACAGCTCAATTGGCACAATGTTTCATACATTGGCAGCAGCTTCATGACCGTAGACAATTGCGCCGTCAATTCGATTGCTCATTTGGAGCTTGACGAATTGAACTCTGCCATTATGTGGGAGTTGCCATTGACTGTCACGACGTTTTGGCAGTTCTACCACATGGATTGTTGGGCGAACATGCAGCCCAGCACTTCATTGAATCGGCATCTCCGCATTCCATTGGCTATGCGTAACTCAGTGATTGGTGAATCCGCATTGCTCACGCCATCTGCACAGGAAGAGATGATTGAAGACGAAGATTACGATGGACTGGAGCAAAGGGACGGTCGCACCAGGATCATCGTGGCAGCCGGAACGACGGTGCAGATTGGGCCGACACCGCGCCCATTGCGCTCCGTCCGGTACTCGCGGATGATTGATGGATCGCGACCAACCGCAACCTGATTTTCTGCATTGAGTGGAGCGAACTGCATTGTGCATACCGATGCTATTTCTGCGGGTTGACAGCACATTGTCAGACGAGCTTCGTTTCATTGCTTCGAAATTGTTTTGCAACTGTGTGAGGTGTGGACAGTGCATGGATGCATTGTCCAAGGAACTGTGTTAGATTGTAGTATCAGTTCACAGCCATCAGTGTACACATGTGCACCTTGCACATTGGCTCAAGATTGATCTGATTGCTCGTGAAAAGATCGCTGACCGAGTGATTGCATTCTGAAGTTGATTGCACCTGCGACTGAGCATTTGATTGTTGATTGCATACGGCACTCCAAGTGAAGCTCGAATACGATTGTTGAATTTTTCATTCAAGTCCCCCATGAAGAGTCCGACCCTTCAAGCACCCTTCAACGAAGGTCGAAGCCCCTTTCAAACCCCCTTGAAGGGAGCTTGAAGGGTCTGACCCTTGAAGCCCTCTTCAGGGGGGGCTTGAAGGGGGCCTTCAAGCCCCCCTTCGCTGAAGGGCGGTGGGCCCATTCAGTCCGAAAGAGGCAAGAGATTCGAAGAGACTGGCTTTCGGGTCTGCATGTTTCTTTGTGGTTCTGCTCCAGTCTTGAATTCAGGCTGTCATAGTTGATGAGTATGGATTTCCCAGGAACAGTGTTGGAGATGTTGTGATTTTGGGTTTTAGGATGGTGCATCGCAGGGCTTTGGAGCGCAGCCAGTTTCCCAGTCGCTGCCTCGGTGCAGTTCAAAGTTTAAGCCGATCTCAAGCTTTATTTCCAAGTGGCCATTCCAAAGCACTGAAGTCGCAATTTTTAAAGCAGTTGGACATGACTTCGGCATGTCCTTCATGGCAGTGCTTCGTGGAGTGCGTGCAGTTAGTCGCAACGATCAGACATGTGAGTCAAGCAGCGAGCACATAAATCCGGGCATTGTCATGGAGCTACGATGGAGCTGGCCGCACCGAAGGCGCGGTTCAGATCACTCGCTGCTTCCACATGTGTTTCCGACCATCTGCATGCTGTGCAACCACACGAACAGCTAGCGACTTCAATCACCGTGGACAGTTTGGTGCTGTTGTTTGGTTAGGTTCGCTGCACCGATGCCGATAAAATCTCTGTCAAACCCCGCTACAGCCCCCGGTTCATGGGTTGAGATTCAAGACTCAGGCTTGTAGGGTGAAAGGACCCGAAGGGGTCAACCTGATGCAGGTAGGCATAGTAGGCAAAGGTGGCTGTAAAGCCTGCATCGTGTGCAGGTATGAGGAGATGTTTGCAGACGTGTTGCAGATGTCATAGATGTCCTTTGGATCCATGGAAGCGTTGACATTCCACAGTCTGGCAGGCGGTTCCTCGAGTTCACGCACTCGATGCTTCGGTGCATGCCTGCAGTTCAAAGGCACGCGCACGAATGCTGTCGCTGGTTCCGATTATGAGTCTAGAATAGTTTTGTCTAGCCTGGGAGGCAACTGCTTCCGCGACATCCACATGCTGTGCGAGTCAGTCCCGTTGCATTCCCGGGGGATGATTCAGCAATGGTGGCGAAGTAGCAATGTGCGGAGAGTTTCTCAGGTCCCCAACATAGTCTGTTTCCTGCTGTCGGGGACTCGCCAGGGCAGGCTGAACTTCTAACAGATTGCTTTCTCTCTTGGAGGACACTTTGTCCATGACTCCTTCAGAGGCCGGATCTTCAATTGAAGTTTGCCGCATCAGTTGCCACGCTCGTGTCCTCCAAGAGTGGTGTCAGGCGGCAAAGGGGCAGAATGGGCTGTATGTTGCAACCTTGGGTTCAGCCTCAACATGAATGCTGTCCATGATCGTTTTTACTGAAAATCTGTGGCATGTCTCAGGACCTAGCTCAGAAATTGAGCGAAAAAGTCGCGAGCCTGGTGTGCAGACCCGTCGCCATGCTTTGTGCCGGCATTGATGATTGATGAGATCTCATTGCAGGTCTCACAGTCGCATGCAGCGTTTCAGATCAATGGCACAGGTAATGAGAGCAGATTGCAGACCCATCCGTGACCTTTGCACCAGACGCTGACCCGACCACCGGGGTCAAGCATACAGAATCCATGACAGAGCCATGGATAGTGGATGCGAGGATCCGCCAACCCAGGAGTTGCTGGCACTTCTACCACCACTGCCTGTCTCGGACTAAGTTCAGCCTTTCCACCGTCGTTCTTGACTTTTACTCAGGCTCAACCTCAGAGCATGCTTGACCTTTGAGGAGCCGAACAGATGGGAGATGCGATCAGAATCGGCATGTGGATGTGGGCTAGTGTGTTGCACTGAGCACTCTCCCAACGGATCCCTCTAATGGGTGATGTTGTTTAGTTGCAGACAGGGATCACCATGCTGAAAGCTGAGGTTGGGATTGATAGCAGTTCTGGTCACTGCGACGCGTCACATGACTGCCAAAATCGCTGGCCACGTGAACGAGGTTCTGCATAGAAGCCACATGCAACAACCCAGAAACGAATCGTTCCGGTTTTACGTAGTTCTCAATTTGCAAGGATGTATCGGATTTTAGATTGTCACTTCAACTAAGCACCACCAGTTTCTGCAAAGTTCCACCCAGCCCGAAGCTTGCCATTGCTTTCTTAATGCTTTCTTAATGACCAGCTTTCTTGGAGAGTCAGTATTGGGTTGCTGGTTTGCGCGCTTGTGTTCTGCTTCGGAGGCGGTGCGGTCAACTTTGTTCTATGCTATCCATGTGGAGGATCCGCAGAAGATCCTGTTTGTTCAGTGCTGTGACATGAACTGAATGGCTTGTCGTTGCAGGCTATCTTGGCTCTGATGTGCCTGCTTGGGTTGATGTGGGGCGATGGAGGCCCGACCTAAGCGCGATCTGCTTGCTATGCATGCAACTCTTTCAACGAAGGTGTCGTCCAGCGATCGCGAAGAACGTGCTTTCCTGTTCCGCCGGCTGTACTGGCAGCCTTGCAGGCTGGACCAAGGTGCTGCAAGGTGGACACATTCGCTCGTCGGTAGTCCTGGCCCTGCAACAGGTATGTAGTGTTCCAAAGGCTGTTTGCAAAGGGCAGCGGCTTGTATTGTCGATTTTAGTTGTCCTCTGGGCATGTGTGGTGCAGGGTGTGTGGGTCACGTGGCTTTCCATGCAACAGCGGCAAGTTCACCATGTTCATGTGTACCTGCTGGAAGCAGCTTGTGCTGCAAGTTGTGAATGCAATTTACCTTTGTTCACACATCATAAGCACACCCATACTTCTCTTCGACGTCTTTTTTGGATTTGCGACCGCTGGACCGGAAGCCATGTTCGGGAACTCGTGTCAGCTGTGTGTCCCCGTGTATGTCCGGCAAGAGGCCGGAAGCTCTCTGGATCACTTCCAGAGTCTCAGCGATAGTGGCTATCTGGTTGAGTACTGAAGCCAGGCACTTTGTGTTGACTGCTCAGGAACATTATTGAAGGAGACAGCAGCTACTGCGTGCGATGCTGCGTGTGGCGGCGAACGACAGAGGGTCGGTCGGACAACAGCTTTGCTGGCTAGTCTTTGCAGCGTCCCACTGCAAGCATCAGGCAAGCCCACAAGCTCCTGCAGACGTGTTTTCCTCTGCGATACAGGCGTGCACCCCAGACCGATTTCTAGATCCATGCTGACGATCAGATTTTCCACACTGTCCCAGCAAGCTATCAACTAGCCGAGGCTCAGAGTACAACTTTCACCACTGTTCCGTTTGTCAGCGCTGCGTTGGTGCCCGAGTATGCAGGCTGTCCGGAAAGGAGTCGGAGTGAGATCGATCCAAGCGCACAGTGCACATGCCGAGGTATCCAACTTTGATCATCATTGCGGTGTATTTGGACGTTGCATTGCTGGAGTAGGACTAACAGGAAACATGGGTTTCTCGGCGGTACATGAGAGGCATTGCGGCATGTTCCTGCGCACGTGATCGTACAGTGACTGGGCTTGTTTATTTTGGAGCAGACTGCGCAAGACCCCAAGCCTGCGAGATGCAACTGCGGTGATCGCCATGAGGTTGGCAAGGTCCCGTCCGTGCGGGACATCGTTGTAGTTTCCAATGCATCGGCATTCGTGAAATTCATGAATCGTGCTCCCGCCACAGTCCAGTGCGGAGGTTCCCCACGCTCATATTGCTTTCAAAATCGTTCACCCCGTGGAGTGGTGATTCGGCTCATTGGGGCTCCGCTCTCAATATATCGCCGTTCTGAGTGTTTCGTTTGAAGTTTAAAAGTTGGCAATCGGCTCCCGCCACAGTGCGAATGGATTTTGGGGTGCATAGCCTTTCCGCTGCATTCCCGCGCATTTCCGCTGCCGATATCGTGCTGCTAGGTGCTCTTTCATTGTCTGGGGTTTGCAGCCGCTTTAAATGAAATCATATTGTCGCAATCTTGGGCAGGGTCTGCACCACTGCCGGGCACCATGCATGCCTTCAGAACGAGTTGGTGGTACATTTCTTTGGTTCGGGTTGTGTAGCATGGTAGTCTGATAGGCTTACGGATCACGTCTCTTGCTGGTACGATTTTCAGTGGTTGTGATGTGCTCGACATGGACTGAGTGTCCGCCGTTGAGGCTTCTTCACTGGCATTATTCTACTTGGCTTGGCAGGGGGCTTCACCTGCTTTGCCAGTGTTTTTCTCGGTCTCATCTACCAGGAGCTACGCAAGTCGCCTGTGAGCATGTCGGATTGAGACGAACGGCAGGAGGATGGCTTTCTACTTTCAGTCATCTTGATGGCCTATTTCACGCCGATGTTTCTAGGATGCTGCGTTTTTCTGTGCGCTTGGGCTGGATGCATGTGGCAGTAGCATGTTTGGTTGGGCGGGCCTTTAGGATTCTCGACGCTGCATACGCGGACCAAGGCAGCATGCTGTGGCCAGAGCTCCTTGGCGAGACATGCACGCGGCATCCTGCATGTCGGTCTTGTGAAGTGGAGTTCTCCGAGGCGTGGCTGCAGCCACCACTGTCCGAAAAGGGATTATGTCAAAGTGCTCCAGGCAGGATGTGAAATAACTGTGCCGAGTTATGAGTTCAATATCTACCGGAGATCGAAAGGTGAATGCCGGTGCCGCCACTACTATTGGCTCATCAGCAGACCTCGAGATGAGGGATGTGCGTGATGTGAAAGTGTCGTAAAAGGAGAGCATGGGATTTGCCACACGCATTGCCGAAGTCAGGGGGGAAGATGGCTAGAACATGCTAGAACGTCTTGCAATATGTTCTGCTGTAGGGCGACTTGCGAGTGTCCGCGTGGCGTTCTGAGGTCTGTCAGCTGGAGGACGGGTCGCTTTTGCACATCTGGTTGCATAACGTGTTGAGCAGATCGAGGATGAGGTCTTGCAGCTTCGAGAAGAGCGAGATGTGCAGTATTCCCAAGCAAGCATGCTCGAATATTTTGCATCGGTGGATACTCAGGCTGACTGCTGAAAATGGCGTCATCTCTGAACACATCCACACTTTGCAGAAGGACGCTGCAGTTCGGGTGACCCGATCCATCAATGTTGAGTCTGCTGAATGTTTGCGTGCAGGAAAACAGCCTTCTGCACACAAGTGGCCTGCTGCTGACTTACAGCTTACGAATGCTTACTCTAAAGTCGCATTGAGTTCGAAAAACACGTGGCACATAAGCTGCCGCTTGCTCACATGCCAGAAGGAGGGTCGTCAAGTTATTGAATGTTCTCACAAGCCAAAGGAAATGCCGGCCTCTCTTCAGTGTGCATCGTTGGCATTAGCATTCGTTGGCCGTGTACCAACTTTCCTGCCAAAACTTACACCGTGCCACACTTGCACAACGACAACGACTGGTTGAACGAGGTGCGAATATCCACAAATTTCACTTCGATTAATCATGCTCCCAAAAACAACTCGACAGCAGCCGGTGTGGAGGTGGTCCAGATGCATGCGACAAGGAGGCCAAGATCCGCTGCATGCAGAACAATGACATGGAAATGATGCTCTGGTGCACGTTTCCCCTGACCATGTGCGTGGCTGTAGCACTGACCCACTGAGCTGCACCAGACGAAAGCAAGGGGCCAAGAGCAGAGGGTTGATGTTTTGGATTTTCAGAGGATGCTTGATTCCTTGAATCTTGCTGGCTGCACGAAGGGCTTCAAGCTCTTCGTCCGGATTTAATTTGTTGGTCGGGACCGCCTTCCGACCTGAGTGCACATCCAACTCTTTGACGAAACTCTGGCCCGCTGTAGATTCGGCCACCCTTTCGCCGACATGGACTAGTAGGCGCTCACGCAACCAGGGAGCCGCCCCGTGGCATGCGTGCGTACATCAGCGGAGCATTCGGCTTCTCTGCGAAGCAGTCGCGTTCCATATTTAACTGGCGTCTGTTGCCGTCTTTTGACTCTGCTTCGAACATGTGCCCCAAATTGTGTTGTTCATCTGCCCAGTGTGCGAATCGCCGTCTACGTGCGCTGCGCTCGGCTGCTATCGCTGTCTTGCCATAGTGGCCTGCAGCTTGGGATGCTCTGGAACGTGATTCTTGGCTTTCCGAGTGCTTGGGTGTGTCCCCTGCGTCGTGGTGCAGACGGCGATCCGATCGTCTGCTATGCCAGCGGACGCCACTGCCACCCGTGAGCCGTCGATTCTGCTATGCGACTTACCTTGCAGGATTGCGAGGAGGCATGGATCCGTTCTAAGAAGAGCAAAGTCACCGGGTCGGTTCCGGAGCCCCGCGAGAGCGGAGGCTTCGCGGGACTGCCCAGTGTGCGAATCGCCGTCTACGTGCGCTGCGCTCGGCTGCTATCGCTGTCTTGCCATAGTGGCCTGCAGCTTGGGATGCTCTGGAACGTGATTCTTGGCTTTCCGAGTGCTTGGGTGTGTCCCCTGCGTCGTGGTGCAGACGGCGATCCGATCGTCTGCTATGCCAGCGGACGCCACTGCCACCCGTGAGCCGTCGATTCTGCTATGCGACTTACCTTGCAGGATTGCGAGGAGGCATGGATCCGTTCTAAGAAGAGCAAAGTCACCGGGTCGGTTCCGGATCCCCGCGAGAGCGGAGGCTTCGCGGGACAAGGGGAAAAGGTGGTGGCTACGCAAGGCTTTCGAGGGTGGTTGTGGAAAGGGAGGAAACAACCATCGAATTCTTCACCCCCATGGACAAAGCACATGCGGGCGATGGGTCACGATATGTCAGGATCTGTTATGCGACGATGGCTTCGCGGCTTTGCTCCGGGAACTTACGGAAGGCCGGTGAATTGAACGGCACCTGGACGCAGGACCAACTTGCTTTGACAAGCGGGCGAAGCGGCTGCTAGCACCCGCTCCTCTGGGCCAACGTCAATAGGGAGGGCGTGGCAATGGCCGACGTACTCAAAGTGGATCAGTATATAGCAGTATGTTGAGCAGCGCGGCGACCGCGAAGGGCGGGCGGTTCTGCAGACAGCTTGCATGTGACGGGGGCGCTCTTCATTTACGTTTCACTCGTGCTGCTCCGTGTCAAGCCACCGAAAGGCACCTTACACCTGCGACTATCGGCCCCCGAGCCCAGCCCCCGCACATCGCTCAAACTGGGTTGCCAGGAGCGAGGTGAGTCGTGGCCCCAGCCCCGGGCTTGGGAGCCCCTGTCTCACAATGCCCTCAACAACCATTGCTGCAAACGATTTTTACATAGTCGCTTGAGGCAGTGCTGCCGAAATTTGGGGGAAAAAGGGCGCCGAGGCCACCTGGTTTACAGCGCCCCCATGCAGCACGAGGAGCGTGGACGCCCGGACTACCTTCCTGTTCTCGCGAGCTGCGAAGCTGCGAAGATCACACCGCAAAGCATTTTGAGCAAAGTTTGTGCCGTTTCTAGATGAGACGACCTGCTGCACCAGGTCACCCCAAAGCCAGCCGCACCGAACTTTTAGGGGCTTTGGGCAGGGAGTGAAAGGCCGGGGGGCATGCAGGACCCCATCATGCAGAGCCCTCAATCTTCACTTTCAGTTCGCAATCCTCCACCTTGGCGAGTTTCCCCTGCTGGAGCGGGGACGAAAAGGCATCAAGGGCCTCTTTCTTGGCCTGGACCGAGCCCCTGACGAGCTGACCGTGCCCAGGTTCATCGCCTTGGTGATCTTCTCAACAGATGCGTGCCCCTCTCAAGCAAGCCGTCATCATCGACGCCTCTGAACGCCACCGTTGCAAAGCAATGATGCAGTCCGTGGTGAGGCCTGAGTCAATGGCCACCACCGTGTGGATGCACAGTGCATGCCGTTAGGCGGAGCAAGACTGTTTCAAAACTGTGGGTTCGAGGTCAGGCGAAACGGAGTTAGATCTTTGATTGCTGCAGACACTTTTGCAAATCTCTGGCGATTGTTTACACGGAAGGCTTTCAGTCAAGGGTCATTGGCGTGTTTACGACACTTTCCCAAAATTGAAAGACGAGGCCCGGCGGACAGGGGCCCTACCCGCGTTCAAAGCCGGGAACACCCTGTAAGGATCGTTGTCCTCAAAGTTCCTCAACAATGTAGCACATCCGGCCAAGTCTCTGGCGCTTTCTGGTGGGGCACAACATTGGGTCCTTGTATCATCTGCTTCTGGTGACTCTACTGCATTATGTCCTCCGTTAGGCTGACGACCTGGTCTCAGTAAGGGTCATGATTGAAGGTCTTTGACGCAAGGTTTGTTGGACGAGCTATTTCGTCGACATGGGCCTCTGGAGGCTTACGTTGTCATATGACAAGCTAGCGTGGTTTTAGCGTGGCTTTTACGTACAGTTGGGCGAAAGTGGAAAGCCGCACCAAGTTTGAAGAACCGTTGATGTGGACATGGACATGCTTCCTTTCATCATCATGCATGGCATTATGACATCGTGGCAGTCGCTGGATGAAAACATGCAGTACTTGAGGTCATGAAAGTGACAGCTCCGTTATGCTTTTTACATGATGCCTCGAATCGCGGAGCCGTGGTATACTCGGAAGGCTGTCAATGGTGTTACGTGTTACGTCTTGTGCCGACAAGCACCGTATCGGTAGTTTTTTTTTGGAAGCGTGTATTTCGTCATGCAGATATGGCGGTGCGGATTCGATTTATCAATCCAAAAGTGTGCCTATGAGATCACAGGGAACGAAGGAATCCGACTGGAGTAGCAGGAAGTTGTCAACCGTTTATATCGGTCTAGCTTTTGCAACAACGGAATGTACGTAAAAAGGTTTCTTTCCCAAAACTAACTTGTTTCCAAACCCAGCGTTCCTTAAGAGGGGTTTTGATTGAAGCTTGCATCTTGAATTTCTCGTGGCACAAGTGTTTTTTGCACCAATCCAACAAGGTGCATATCAGACCGAGCCAGGAATTTTGAGGGAATCTGTTTGGACTGGCAAGAAGCCTCGCTCACCGATGTAATTGCTCCAGTATCATACATCTTTTGCGGCTCAGGTCTTCTAGTGCGGAAAACACGCGCTTGATGCAGGCTGCCGGAATACGAGACTATGCAAAGCAAGGTTCAATGCTGTGTTTGGAGTCGCATCAGGCCCACGAGGGTGTCACCGGCGAGGCGCGCGACTGCCACAGGTGCGCGGACAGGGGTCTCGTAATCGTGTCGGCAGGCGACATCCCTCCGGCAAGAGCTCAAGGCGTTTCAATGCAGTTTATGTACTTGAAGTGTTGCCGTCGCCCATGCGAGCAGCTGCGAGCAGGCTGTTTTGGAGGAACGAGCTCTCCTTCGCTCTTCTATAGATGCATTGAAGGCTGGCAATGCCCAGCCCGTGCCTCGGGGAAGAAAGAGAAATCAATCATGGCCGGTTAGGGATCTCCTACAGTTGAGGCTTCAACACTCCGTCCGAGGCGCATTTACGAGCTACATTTCGTCATGCTTCCTTGAGTTGTGTGGGCCTGCGCATCAGAGCATTACAATGGTTTGACAATTGCAAGTCGTTGAAGATTTGCCACCCCAGCCACTACTTCAATATGCGCCTTTCTGCAACAGCGTTTCCCACGATCCCAGCGCATGTCAAATCGGACACCCGCGGACATCTTTCTCATTCAAGGACGGGCAACAAAAGGACGGAAGGAGGTACACTGCCGAACATCTCTATCGAACCTCAATTGCAATCGCTGATCTCTTCAGGGAAAGAAGCACTTGTTTTGGGCCTGGGCCTGGTTCCTTTTGTCATACTGCGGAACGTGACTACCCCATGGACTCTTCCCGGATCTTTTCCTGATTGGAAGGGATATGATCATCTTGGAACCTGTCGAATATCTCAAGTTCCGCCTTGCAGATGCAGTAAAGAACTGTGGTTCCATTGCTCAAATCGGAAACTTCTTCACGGAAGGCTTGTGTTGTATCCTTGTTTGAGGGATGCTGCGAACAGTGCCGTTCATGCTGCCACATGCTGCCACAGCCCACGAAGTTCAACTCTGCATTTCAAGCGTCTTCTGCCCAAGGCGCCAGTGGAACTTAACTTAAGCAGCGTTGTGTTTTAACCTGCCTGGGTCTTGTAGCACCGTACACACACACACACATCCGAATTGATTGGAAATTCAAGCCACGTTTATGCCATCGACGGCCTGTGGGAGTAGGCCGGCGCAAGTTGCGCGGGCGGAATCTTGCTTGAGTGGAACCAGCACAGGCATAAATCATCTCTGGTCAGGTCGCCCTGCGAATCCGAAGCGCTTGAATGTTCATACATGCAGTCATACACGAATGGAAGTGATAATGCCTCACATTCCTTTGTTCTGTGGACAACACTCAGTTTCCATTACAGAGACGTCAGCGTTATTGCTGAATAAGGCTTTTGGATTGCGTGATAAACGCAGCTAGGAACCCAAGCATCTTTGATCGAGTCCAACAAAAGGTCTGCAGGGACTGTGAGAACCCTTCCACATGGCTCTGGGCTGGCTTTGAAAACTAGCCCCTCCCAAAGGGTGTGGATGTGCACCTAGACATCATTTTTGTAAGTGTGGCTAGTGACGTCATGGCCTTTGTTTTTCTGCAGCGATAACACCATATCTTCTACAGGACCGCAGCTGAACGCATTCACACGTAAAGGCTCTTACAGTCAGTCCAGAAGCACCTCCTGGCAGCGCATGCAGTTCGACTGCGCTTTGTTGGTACATGTTGGCAGGGACATGCTGGCAGGCTTAGAAACATCACTGGCCGCAGTTCGGGGAGACCTCGAACAACGAATCAACACACAGGTCGTCAGCTCGGTGGGATATTATCACAACTGAGTTCGTGGAGTTGTTGTATCACTCGCGCACGTCATAAGGGTGTGCATCAGAGCAACAGAGCTCACATCATGCGGAATCTGAGGGTGCAATGGAGGAGCACATTGCTAGCAACGGCCTTAGCTTCAGGTGCTTGGTCGAGTTTCAAGGCTGCAGCACTGGAGCACCCAGACGCAGATGCAGGTCTTCGAAAGCAGCTGGAGTCGGTGCTGGCAGAGAAGGTGCAACTAATTTTGTTAAATCTCTCTCTCTCTCTCTCTTTTCTCTTTCTGCTCTCTCTTCTCTCTCTTCTCTCTCTTCTCTCTCTTCTCTCTCTTCTCTCTCTCCTCTCTCTCTCTCTCTCTCTCTCCCTCTTTGCTCTCTGTATTTTTCTCATCTCTCTCTCTCTCTCTCTCTCTTTCCGGCCGGCTGTCAGCCCCGATCCAATGAATCCATCTCGCGTCGCAGGTCAAGGCCGAGGGACTTATCAGTAGCCAGCACGTGGCTTCCTCAGGGTGGGGTCACCGGAAAGAAAGGAGGGAAAACACGGGTCTCGGTTGGATTTTTTTGTCGCTTCAGGGATCGGGCGAGTGACTCAGGTGGAGATCCTCAGCTTACACAAGCTTCGCGATGAGTTCCTTGCAGAGAAGGCCAGTCAAAGGCAAACAACGGCAGAGGCAGAGATGCTCTGCGACAGTCTGAGGCTACTGGCCAAGCTCTAGTCCAGAAGTTGGAGGCAAGCGAGGCTGAGCTTTCTCGCTCCAAGAAGGAGCAATGAATCAATTTAGTGCAGTTTCAAGTCGCCATGCCACAGGTTGAACAGTTGCTGAACTTTCCATTTAATCTTCTCAGAAGGACAAAGCGGCGCTTGATCAACTAGTCAGCTCGTCGGGGCCTAAGTCTTGTGACAGTTGCATCGGGGTGGCAACATTGGGGTGTTTTGCAACAAGACGTCATGGAAATAGCCCCACGTTTCATGAAAACGCATCGGGTCCTCGGCTTTAAGAGTGTCCAACCCTGAGAGTGTGAGAGAGAGAGAGTAGCCATTTTGGCTCAAGCCGTGAGCGGTTCAAGGGGGGTGGCCTCTCTGCCTTTCTCCTTCCTCCTTTCTTCAACGGGGCCACTCCGCTTGTCCTCTTGCCTTCTCTTGCTCTTCCGCCGCGATTGCTGAAGGACGAGGTGGTGAACTCTGCGCTGTTCGAGCTGCCCGCTTTAAAACGCGAGATCGGTGTGCAACGGACCTGTACGGTGACCGCAGCTGTCCTGTTCATTCGGGAGAGTGAGACCCACTACCACAAAGATATCGGCGGCCCTACTCAAGAACCTCTTCTACTGGCCGACCCACCCGGGGAACATCCTCGATCGACGACTTTATCCACGTCAAGATCGTGATATCGGGGATCGACACCGTGATTGCACTCCTTGCCTACGATTGGGATCCAGGGGAACCTCCCCTCCGACATCTCCAAAGCCATGGCCAAGAAGTCGGAAGGAACAAAGGAGCCTCGATGCAGACGTTGTGCTGAAGGGGCGTCCTTTCATGGAGGGCATGACCGCCGGGACCCAGCCTGTTACCTTCATGGCTGTGAAGCCAAAAGTGCAGCGGGCATCCACGCCTTCCTCATCGCAAAGTCGCAGGCAACACCGGCAGACAATACGATGCCGTCTCCACCCGCTTCAGGCATCACGCCCCCCGCCCCACCTCCCCCCCCACTAAGGTCAAACACAAGAAGGAGAAGAAGAAACACAAGCATGCAGAAGTTCGGACCTCAACGACCTCAGCGACCTCCATCTGCGAGACCATGGGCAACGACGACCCTCTCCTGGAACCACTTCGCGAAATCATGTATGGGGAAATGGCCCCACCAACAAAGCGGGCCGAACTCCAGTCCGGGCGGTTGCGAGCGCTCCTGCGGCACTCTGGCCACCTGAGCTCGACAAGCAAGAAACGACTGCAGGCACCGCAGGCACAGCACCTTCAACGTCTTCTACCTCCTCTGGTCTTTTGCTTGAAGCTGCCTTGAGTACAGGGGCTACGTCCTCTACACCTACGCCTTCTTCCTCCTCTGGCCTCCTGCGGGGAACGTCCCCTCTTGAAGCTGGCGCTGCCCGTGCTCTTCCGGGGGAACAACTTCGAGCAGTACCAAGTCCCGCCACCCTGAGAACGGACACGCTTGGGGCTACGACTGCCACTGTCGACAAGGAGTCCTACCAACCCTACCAGCCGGTGCAGGAGATGCTGGCACCTGTACCCAAGCAGGAGCAAGCCTGGAACCAAGACATTGTCCCGGGCAACCCCCGTCAACCACCACCCGTGGGCGAGCAGGCGACAGCGATCCAGGACTACGATGACAACGAGCACGACCTTGCCATAGCCACGACCTGGACCGAGCACGAGGAAGCCTTGCATGCATGTCACAACAAGGAACCAAAGCGCGTGGACGGGGCGGACCCAACGATCCAGGACTATGCCAACACTGAGCCCACAGACCAGGCAGCGGTAACAAGTACGGACGACCTCGCCAACAACATAGCTCCGCAGCAACAGGGGGACTTGCCTTTGGGAACACACAGGGGGCTACACCCTATGGAGGACGTCTTCGATGACACCGCGGACCCCGGGGACAAAGGCGGCGATGACGGGGAAAGCCCCGAAGGCAAAGCAGTGACTGCAGAAGCAGGCCTACTTCCACCTGACAACGAGGAAGAAGAGACGGCTACAGCAACTCCTCCAGGACGGTGAGATAAAACGGCACTCAGAAGACGACACGGACGAGACCTTGTGGAAAAGGTACAGAAGTCAACAGAAAGCCGAGTACCGGGACAATAGGCGGACCAAAAGGCAGCATGACGCCCAGCAACGAGACCTGAGCCGCTGAGATGAGTGAGCGTGGCAGGGGCTTTTCCCTTTGGGTATTTTCCTGCTACAGTTGCTCCTAATTCGTCCGAGATCCCTTTCGTATGCTGCGACAAAATCTGCGGGGGCATCCCCAGGATGGACTCGCCTTGCTCCAACTGAGCTATACTACTTTCGCTTTTGCCTGTGCCGCACGCTAGGCTGTACATTAGGACGGGCCGCTGAGCCAACCCCATTCGATCCTAGCTCTAATGTGAGCTCCCTGAAACTTCGCCGTTACTTTCCAAAGGGGCTGTTGCCCCTCACCTTTTCGGGACGCTTGCACGTGTCGTGGCATCTTTTCACGCTTTGCGATGATGCTGATCCCGCAATCTCAACCACAAAGTCTCATGCAAGGGGAACAACGCCGAGTCAGCAATCCCAATCTTGTTCTGAACTTGAGCTGCCTCTTTTACGAGCTGGTTTTTCTGGCTGTCCTGAGTCCAGTTGCTGAGTGCAGAGACTTCTGTTTTGTACATTCAACAGCCGATGGTTGAGAATTGCCTTTTTTCTCCTCCGCAACAGTCGGGGGCGCATACGCGCGCGATGTAGGGGGTAACACCCCTGCATCACAACCCTGGCGAAAGAAAGAGAGAGAGAGAGAGAGAGACAGAGCACAAAGGACGTCGGTGCCTCCTTGTTTGACGTACATCTATGTTCTTGTTACCCCGAGCCCTCCTGTTTCCTCAACCACAGGCACCGATCCCCTGCCACAGCGAGGACCTACCGAAGTGTGTTACTTCCCCTAGAGTGTTGGTTCATCCTCAGCTCCTTGCTTCTCAAACCCGACGACCGGCACTGCTATGAGCAACACTCCACCAAACCAGTAGGCCAAAAACTGAAGTACAGAGCGGGGAGGCAAACACAGCTATCTAGAATATATGGAGTATGTTACGTCCTCTAAAGGAACCCTGCCTGCTCGGTCTAGTGTGCAAGTTCCAAAAGTGGCACCGCTGTTCTGTATGCACCGCCCGCCCCGGCAACGCCCGGGGACAAGAGCCAGCGTACCTGCTGCTTCCCGACTCCGGGGAACAGCACTGCCAGCAACAGCATCCACAAACCAGTACAGTAACTAGGCAGCAAGAGCTTTGGTAGAAGAACACGGGGCCCCGGAAACCAACCAGGTCATTGGAGAGGGCTGTCATACTCTTCGTTTTTTGATCCTCAAACGGGGTGCCGCGCAACAGTAGAGGCTGGACAGTTGGACAGAACAGGGCAAGAGTTGTGCTAGGGGGAACACCCGGCAGCTACGTGGATTAACCACGGCACAGCAGCACAGCAGCACAGACCCAAGCACGGCAAGGCAGGGGGTGCATCAGCGAAAGTAGCCGTGTTCGGGGACCTGCCGTTTGCACGTTTGCAAAAAGTCTCACACCGTCCTCGGACAACGGCATAGCGCTAGCGCGCAGGGGTAGTAGGGCATGCCCCTACGTCCCCAAACGCCTGCCAAGCAAGCAAGCAATCAAGAAAAAACAGCTGATGTATGCTGCAGTATTTGGAAGCTGGTCCCGGTGCCTGGAGTCTGGAGGGCCGCCGGAGCATTTATCAAACACCCCCGAATCATGCAATGAGCTGTGCGTGGTGGATGCCCTCAATGCTGACTTCGTTCAACAAGATAGTTGGTACGCGGAAGTTCGGCGACGCATGGTGAGGTGATCTTCTTTAAGTTGGGTTTGGCCCACTGCGCGGCATGTCCCGCCAAGGTTGCATGTGGACTGTGCGAAGATGCAGACACAACGAGATTCTGCAATGGCCGAGGTAGGAGCCTGGACGAGCCGAGACTTGAGCAAAACCCGAGACTCGCGCCTGGTGTGTGGCTATCGCCACAGTATCGCTTTGCAGGTGCCGCACTTGAAGTCCTCGATTCAGCAGCAGGATGTCCTGATGAAGGACTTGGAAAGCCAGGCTCGTGATCGTGCCGGATATCGTATAGACATATTCTTTTTAGAAAGAGATAAGCCTCGATGGCAAGGCATGGGTCTTAGCTGTACTGCGCAGGCGAGCGTTCTTATTGTGCGATTATGCAGATCGGTGTCACAGGTGACTGCTCTCCAGCAGCAGTTGCAGAGCAGCAAAGATACCAGTGGAAGGGTAGATCAGCAGGCCAGCCGCCAAGGTGTTGCCATGTGTTCTATCGGCAAATATTGAAGCATGTGCGGCCCTGTGTGGCTTGGCTCCTAAGCTGAGGCCAAGCATCTTGCATTCGCCCTGGAAAGATCGCGGGAAGATGGAGCTCGTCACGAGCAGGAATGCCGCTGCAAGTGAAGGGGTGTAAGTCTTTGTGTGTGTGTGTGTGTTAAGGTCAGATTGTGTTCTTCGCAAACAGCACATCCATCTGATGTGGTGATTTGCATGCGGACGGAGGCAGCACTTGCCCTTCGTGTGGAACGAACGCGATTGCTCGAGGCACTCGCTGACGGTTGTCTGCTATGTCAGACGTGCATCTGGTTTGAGGCCTTGGAAAGACTGCGGCGTGGGAAGGCACAGCAGCGGTAAAGTTCAAGTATGACTCATGAAGATGGGGGTCTTGCTCAAACTGACTGCGCTAGTAGTGAATGCAGGGCATGCATCCAGATATGCTGGTGCCAGGTGAGTTCAACAATCACGGTTGACTGTTAGGCTTCAGAGTTTCAATATTCGAGGTTTAGTTAGAGTTTAGGGTTGCTTACATTTTGTACAGGGTCGGCGCGGAGAGACTCTGTTTTCGTCTCCCTCTCTCTCTCTCTCTCTCTCTTTCTCTTTATCTTCCGCTTCCTCTTCTGCCTCTTCCTCTTCCGCTTCCTCTCCCTCTTCGTCTTCCTTCCTTTCTTTCTGTATCTCTCTCGCTCACCCTCTCCCTGTGTTTGGTTCACATCGGCAATGCCAGTGTGCTCGCAACACCCGTTCTGCATACGAGTGTCGTGGGTCGATGCGTTGTCTGAATTGATGTTGCAGGCGGAAAGCGATCTGCGAGCCTCAGCATCAGCTAACGAACATGGGCTGTTGCAGGCCGACCCCTGCCAATTCAAAAGCAAGGCCAGTGACAGCTCCTTCCAGCTTGATCAAGTGGCCAGGCTCATGTCGAACATATCAGCTCCGATCGCGAGCAGATGTGCGAGTCTCGGCACGTTACAAGATTTGGTTCTTGCAGCACGGGGCATGCTTGGCTACCAGGCAAGTTCAGCTTCACCAAGCCACATCGGAGGCCTCAGCCATCAGGACAGCAAAAAGCGTAGGGCACTTAGGGGAGTGACTTGGGAGAATAATAGCCCTTGCTGAAGGAGCCGATTGGCCGGCCTTGAGCAGATGGTTTTGACCTTGGCTCCGTCGAATATGCTGGGCACCCGTGAAATAATTTGTGCCAATGCTTCCACAGGTGCAGGCTTATGCAGACAAGTGCGCGGCCTTGCAGCAAGAGGCACTCCACAGCAGAGCCAATACGTGTGGCGGACTGCTTCCGGTTGTAGATGTCGTGGGTCACCGAGGGAGAGCATGTTTCTTGAGACATCATGGCGAATGCATCTTGCTGAGCACCTCCACTCGTTCCTGCTTGTCCCTGTGTCTGGCGGATCGTCGAGTCGTGTCAGGGCGTATTGGAAGTGTTTCTTGCTTGGAGAGTCTTGGACAGCGCCCTAGGACACGGCACGGAAAACCTGCGACCCTGCCGACGGTGCCTTCGTCCTGCACACCCCGAAATGCTAAGTGGCAAAACACAGACCATGTCTCGTGCTCCAACAGACATGCGTATTTGGCGCTGGAAGAAAGGCCGTGTGTGAGCTGATAACAAACGGACATCACAGCAAAGAGGCAATTCTGCAGGGAGCATTTCGTGCTGGCACAGCACAGCTTCTCTCTTCTGAGATGTGCCTCCGCTGAATCCGGGCAGCAGCATCAGCGCTTTCCTGAGATGCCAGCTGTTTACTTCTTTGCTCCGCCTCCATTGTCCATGAATCGCGGAGCACTACGGGCCAGTGCATCTTCTCCTGTCACTGTTGCCGCACCTCGGCAGGCGAGCTTACCTCTTGCCCAGAAGATTTGATTACGGGTCTTTGTGTTGATGTTCTCCGTCTTAGTTGAGCGAGTGGGAGAGGACAGAGGAGCATCTTGTTTTATCGAACGATCGAGCGCAATTCTGCGAGGTTTCCTCCTTACAAGACGACAAGGTTGGGAGCAGGGTCTCGAACGGTCTCGATGTCCTTGCAGATTTCGTGACTGCTTAGTTGTGAGGCCGAGCTTCAGGAGAAACTTGAGGCGGCACCGCGTGCAGCACGAAGCCCTGAGAGAAGTGCAATGATTCAGCCGTGGCCTCATGCTTCCAGTGATGAGTGTAAAGGTTTCCGCCTTCGAGACAATGGTCTGTTGCCAGCAATGGTCTGTTTCCAGTTTGCAGCTACGATGAGTGGTAGCTCCAATCACTGTTTCCTCGAACAGCAACAGGGGCAACGGATGCATGTCACTGAAAGTGTTGGGCTCATCAGTAAGATTTGTAGCATGAGTAGGCCCGGGACCTTTCATCAGGCCTAGAGAGACACCTTTCAATTGCAAGCTCAGGACAAATTCCGGTCTAGAATACTTGGCACCAACATCTCACCTCATCTTCGTTTCATCATCATCATCTCTTTTCATCGCCGACCATGAGTGCGCCATAGTGCGCCCATCCTTGAAGAAAGTGGCAAAGGGATCGCCTGGTCGTAACCGTGGCAGTCCAATGGAGATCACGACTATGAGCTGGGGACACTTAGCTTGCGTACCTCAAAAACATTGCACCCTTTCGAACGTGGCTGCCCTTGACATGTGAATGAACACAATCTCGAAATCGTTGAGTTTGGAAGACGAAGGTACCTTTCGAACATAGTGGTGTTTCGTTTCTATCAGATCACATCGTGCAGCTCAGAACGCAGCATCTTCGTCCACGTGTAAAACGAACGGTTGGGAAATGGGTGGTGTCGAGACACTACGTGTTTGGAAATACACGGAGAGGTGACCCCAGCTTCCGTGTGCTTTCTACCAGCTTTGATTGTCAGCAGTCCGGCTTGGATCATCTGACCATCGTTCCATCCAGCTGTTCCGGGGTCAAGAGTCAGTCTCGAGAACCATCGCCGCACACTTTTTTTGGTGTTGTGTGTCTTTGGGTTCAGCATAAACCCAGAGGACTTTTTACTCCGGCAGTTGGCAAGTTGCCGCATCGAGAGCTATTCTTCTAATGTGGTGTTCTGCCGAAGAAAGCCGACATTCAACTCAGCTTCAGTGCAGCGATGAAAGGAAAACTGACACGGGGTGAAGAGATCTTTGCCACCACTGCAGGCCAGCAGGGTCGCAAGGATGGGCCCTATGAGGCTGTGGCAGATTCGTTTCACGGCATGGGCGGGATGTGGCTGCTCGTTGATATTGTGTCAACTAACATGGCACCTGGTGATGCTGTTACCTTTCCGGAAAAACATCCTTTCCAAGTAGTGAAGTTAGTGCTCGGTCCATGATCGGGGCAGTGCGGTTCCAGGAAACAAGAGAGACCTAGCAACTCTCGCAATCCTTGTTGGATCCATGCATCGGCGATTCCGAGCTTCGGAACTCCGTGTTTGGCTCAAGCTTCATGGTGTGGTGTCGGATCTCTTTGGCACATCGTCCAGGCATGGCCAGGCATGGGCTGCCAAGGCCTCGCAGCCAATCATCACGCGAGTGCGAGTGCGACCTTCGGGAGGTTCAGTTCTTGCCATGAAGTACCATGAGACTGCAGGCCCGGCTGCCTCTTGGCTGCCGCCTTGCTTTTAGCCGGGTGCTTAACCTGGCAAGTTGGGTTTCACAGGGGTGTCTCATGCTCTCAGCTGTCAGGCTAGCGTAACGTTTGCTCAGGTAAGCTTGCTGCAATTTCAATGGCTAGACTTTACAGCTTGGCGATCCGCCGACAGGCACTTTGGGGTGTTCCGGGTGTGGCACGTCATGCCCCAGATGAAGATTTCCTGCCTCGAGGACCAGCTCCAGCTCTCGACTCGTTGGTTGGAGATGGCAGCCCTCGGCCGGAGTCTGTGTTGTTGTGTGCACAGCATTTTGTGTCACCTTCTTGAATCTGTTCGTTTTCAAGCGATGCTTGAGGTACGAGGGCAGCTTCCGGCAATGAGACTTGGTCCGGGTGGCGGCTCTGATCCGGTGCGCCAACGCTGGCAGATTTCACTTGTGATCATGTTAACTGCCAGCAGGTCAACAATGTCTCCCCTGAAATGTCAGCTGCTGGACGAAAATACGCTCAGAAGTACGAGGTTTGGGGTGAGATGCTCCATACTGTAGTGTTTGGTAGTCTCACCGTCTTTCCAGGACATAATGTTGGCTGGACAGAAGGTTTGGGAGGAAATGCTCAAGAAAGACGAGGCGGTTCGTTCAATTCTGAGACGATTAGTGGGTTGTTAGTCTTGCACGGCAGGTCCCCAAAAAGATCTACTTCATTGGCACAAACGGAAACACAGGTGATGCTGTGTTTGACAAACCTGCTTTCTGTTGCAGCAAAGTAAGATTCTTGACATGATGCTGCATCCATTGCTGGCACGGTGTTGTCAGCACGTTGTAGGTGAGATGGTTGCAGAAGCCTTGATGGATTCGCTGGCGTCAGAGCCTCGAGGTCTCACGGGATGATACGTTCGAATGTGGGGCATGAGTATTTTCGATCCTAGGTATGTCCCAGCTCCCGATGGGACTTTGTTTTTGCGCAGAAAGCCTCTGCCCCAATCGGGGGACCATCAGATGGGATTGGCTTTTGCCTTGCAACAGACCGGGGGTCGACTACCCGAAGCTGAAATACTATCTGCTGAACGGCGACAAGGAGGCGAGGAGGAAGAGTGCCGATTGAGGTTCTGTGTGTTCTTATGCTCAAAAAATTACAGCAGATGTTGACTGTCGAGGCAACTTGTGGTGTGTCCCGCACGTTCGCTCTCGCTTTCGATGTTTGTGATAGTGTTTTGAGAAGGTCCTGGGATGGGGCAGTTTTGTCGCGCACACCGCTCTGAAACGATCTGCATGTGGCACTGAAGCGGCTGCAGACACAGCATTCTGATCAAGACTTGGTTGCCCCTCGTCTCGCGAGTTGGCGGCAAGAGCTCCAAAATCGGCGGTGGACCTTTACATGGAAGATGAAAAGGCCCGCATCGAATAGCGGTTCATCAAACCAGCGGTGATGGTGTTTCTTGCGGACATGTTTCTGTTCTGTTCCTGCCAAGCTGTGACCCGCAGAAATATCGTGAGCTGGAGACTGAAGTGCTGAAGGAGTTTCAAAACCTTGTGCGACCTTCAGCATTCCAGCTTGTTGTGGCTTAACCAACCGAAATCCTGGTACAGTAAGGACACGGAAGGCCAGCCTGCCGGCATCATCGTCGGAGAGAGCGCTGTCAGCATTCCCGAGAACGTGCGGACCTTACAGTGTCGAGATCTCGGTCATGCTCCCCAAGCGAACAGACCTGTCGCCACGACGCAGGTTGAAATCCTGAAAACCGGATTGGTGATCTGGCTGGATGTTGCGGCAGAGTTCAGCTGGACCTTGCAGTAGCTGCACCGTGTCAATCTCGAGCCGGTTTCTCCAAAGCAGCCCAAAGGAGCAAGACACAGATGAGAGCCAAAGCCGGCGGGGGACTCTTCATCCCGTACGAGATTATCAGGTGCATGCCCTTGGAGCTGGGGCCAGGGCTCCTATGAAATCCGGCCGGTCCAACCTGCAGGCCGCCTGTTTGGTGCATTGCAAACGGCTGGGATGGAGACATTGATGACGGCGAGGCATCGGCTTTCAAGGTCTCGTCAAGATGTGCTGTTCTCAATTGCGCCAGGCAAAAGCGGAATACATGGCTACGGTCGAAAAGTACAACGAGATGTACGAGGAAGTCGCTGACCTTCGTCTTCGAGCAGTGCCAGTGGCTGCATGAGCTATCTTTAGCTGAAGGCAGAAAGCTTTGTTATAACTTGTAAATTTGCTGCACACTTCAAGAAGCAATTGAATGGGGTCGTGTCAGCTTGTATTTGTAAGCATCCTGCCCATCATTTCTTTTTCTGCCCACGCCCGTCCGCATTGCTGTCTTGGTCGAAATCTTCTCGCTGGCTTCTGCTGCTCCTTTCGCACTTCCCGCTCGCACATGTCGCACCTCGGCGCCTGAATGCTGCTTCTCGAGCCCGCTCGCGGTCGCCTTTCGTGATCTGTGGATGTTCCTCCTTGCTGGGTTAGATCACCGTGGCATGTATGGTCATAAGGACGAGTGTGCACGTGAGCTCTATTGATCCATGCGTCGATACTTGTCACATGTGTGCGTGCATCCACCGGTACACAGTGCATGATATCAGCCGACCACTTGCCCGGTCTCCTACGCAAAGCAGGAACGATGGTGGAACATAATTGGAAACATTAGGAACACACTTGAGAACGTTAGTCACACTTAAGCTTATCGTCACTCAACGCACAGCTGGCAACCACGTGCATGGCAAAGAGCGATGTGCACGGCCGAGAGGAAAACGAGCAGCTCCCTGTTGAAAATACTGTAAAGGGCTTTTGGTCGAGATTCCAGATTGTGAGCCGGCATTCCACATGTTCTGATGACGTGTGCTCGCCGGCTCTGGGTTTGGGACAGCAGATTTGAGCAATACTGACAACGCGATCTTTCGCAGACGGCTTTCCTCGATAATTTGGAGGGAGTCGTTCCTCCTAGATCCACTGAAATCAGCATGCGTCACACCGGCACGACGCAGAAAGGGACGGGTCGCCGGTTCGGTTACTGTCGTAGGGCACACTGCGAGATGAGGTCGTATGACGGAATATGATATTGACAATCAGAAGAGCATTCTGCATGAACCTGTCGCACGGTAGGATGGACTTACAGAAAACCAATCCGAGAGCACTTTGAAGCAGGTCTGTTGATGGGGGCCGTGAGTTGCTAGTTTCGAGCACTCGCCCCACTCCCAACTCGTGGAATGCCACGGCTTTCGAACTTGTTTTCGGTGATGCTAGTTTCGTGTCATAGTTTTTGGCTTCTGTCCGTGACATCCGGATCGGTTTCAGTCAGGGGGGACTCCGTCTGCTGGTAAGGATACCCCTGGCATTGTCGAGAACCAGTACTGGGGCGCCGAGCGATTAGCCAAGGCAGTGGGACTTGCGATGTCCTGCGGCTCATGGCACCGAGACGGTGTCTGGAGTGCCACGTGCGTCGGGCAGGCCATCGCGGAGTTCTATGGGATTGACACCGAGGGAGCCTCCGTTGAGGAGGCGCCACCGGCATTGAAGCTTGTGGCGTTCCTCCTCTTCTTCTTCTTCTGTCGCCTTTTCGCTTTCCAAGCCTGCAGGAGGTGTTGGAGCGTGATCTGGAGAAGTTTTTGGAGAGTGCTCGCCTCTCCAAGTACATGCAGGCCTGCCCAGAAACAGGAAGAAGGAGCCCACATATTTTGCAAGCCTCCGAGCATCGCAAGAATTCATCAGGCTGCGCTGGACTGGCCCAAGCCAAAGGTTTCTCTTGTGTCCGCACCGTTTCTCAGAATTGCAAGCTAATACAGATGAGGTGCGA